TTTTAAACTGTAGACAAAGAGCGCCAAGTCGATGCTCGAACTGTTTTACCGTTAGCGTCATCACTACTTCAGCCGGCAGCGCATTCCAAAAGTCGCGGCGTGGTAACCGGGAATCAGTCCCAACCCGGTCCGAACGGGGTTTGTGCAACTGCAGTGGATGACCACGAAGAAGAGGCACCAGAATGGAATGAAACAGTCCAGATACATCAAGACCGAGCTGATCTGTTAGTATGCGATACGTGAGGAACAGGTCGCCGCGAAATCGTCTGTAGTACATTGAAAACATACCCAACTTGTATAATTCCTCAGGATACAACAGCTTCATTAATTGGAACACCATTTTCGTCCCCGACCGTAAAACTCCTTTAACTGCCATTTTGTCGCGGACTAGGCAAGGTGGACAAGACTGTACACAGTATTCTAAGTGTGGCCTAGCAAATGCTGTAAAGAACCTTGCGAACATTTCGGTTATCATGATCCTGAGTGGTCTGCAGATCATCCACAACATGCCAAAATCTTTGCGAACAGCTGCCATCCAATGTTTGCTGAACTGAAAATCAGACGAGAGCAAGACGCCTAGGTCAGTTTTGAGTGACACGTGGAACTTTATTACCCCCGATTAAATAGTGCATCGGTGGATCATTTGATCGTAGTCGCAAAACTGAACATTTAGCGAGATTAATAGGCAGCTGCTACGAAACGGACCAGTCCCATAGTCTATCTAGAGCCCTTTGTAAGGCCAGTGGACCACTAGGATCATTTACCGTGGACCAGAACTTTGTCGTTCGCGAAAACGAGAGACGACATTCTCAATTCGTCGGGTAAGTCATTAAAGAACAAGCTGAATAGCAGGGAGACAAGGACCGACACTCGCGGGACATCTCTGTGAACTCACTGATTTGAGGACAGGCTGGAGCCCACACGAACACACATCTCCCTTCCGGTTAAAAAAAGCCGAAATCCATTGCAAGAGTGGCTCCGAAATGCCATAAGTCTGCAACTTGGACCAAAGGCAAGAGTGCGGAACAGTGTCAAAAGCTTTGAAGAAGTTAATGGGCAATACATTCAGGCCTTTCCTTGATCAACCGCATCGGCCCAACGTTCGCCGGTAACTAACAAGTTGGTAAGGCAAGAATAGCCCTTAAGAAAACCATGTTAGGAGGGGCTGAGCAATCCAAACGCCCTTAAATGGCTTTCCAGCGCATCCCACACACGTTTTTCCATGAGCTTGACCAACACGTTGGTTAGGCTAACAGATCTATAGTTTTCAGGGAGGTTTGTCACGCTTTTTAAAAACGGGGCATACACCGCGTTTTTCCAGTCGTCAGGTAGACAACGGCTGCGCAGTGACTTCTCAAACAGTCGTGTAATTGGACAGCAAAGTTCATCTGCCAACTCATACAACAGTTTGGGGTGGATAGTACCCATGGGCGCATAGAAACTGACGTGAGCTCACGCATTGCAAAGGCCAGAGCTGCCTTCTTGAACCTGCGTCATCTTTGGCGACAGAAGGGAGTTTCCCTCCGTCTGAAAGGCCGTGTATACAATGCTACAGTGAGGGCCGTTCTGCTCTATGGTAGTGAAACTTGGCCCCTTCGGTCTGAAGATCTGAGGCGCCTTCAAGTCTTTGATCATCGTTGTCTGCGAAGCATTGCTGGTGTCGGATGGCACCAGCGTGTCCGCAACGATGATGTGCGTAGACGAGTACTAGGTGGTGATAATCATGCTAGCTCCCTAGAACAACAAATAGCACTGAATAAATTGCGTGGGCTCGGGCATGTGCTACGCATGCCTGATCACCGCTTACCTAGGAAGGCCTTGTTCAGTCTACCAGGTGTAGGATGGCGCAAGGCTCGAGGTGGAGAGAAGTTGACTTGGCAGCGGGAAATGAAGTCACTGACGACCAAACTGGGTGCCGTTGGTCCGTCTCGCCTTCCGGGTTGGAGTCCACGTGACTCACCTTGTGCTTGGCTCGAGACTTTACAGGACATGGCTCACAACCGACACCAGTGGCGCGTCTGCTGACGTCCCCTCATCGGATTGTCTGTTTAAAGTGTGTTTGGTGCCGTGTTATCTGCGGGGTAATGGCTGATTATGACGTGTGGCAGTGAAAGCCGCAAGGAAGCTGTCTCGCCGATGCCGCCTTATCTTTGCACGATAGCCAGCTGTTTGTGACGGTATGTTGTCTACACAAGGTGCTAGGCGCCTTGACCCTGAATGTTTGCTTAGGGCATTAAGGTTTTCAGGTAAGTCCCCCTTCTCTCCCTCTTCTTATTCTTTATTTCATAGGTCCTCATGGTTGTATGGTAGCGAAGCATCAGTTCAAATGGCTGATGTACTGCTGTTGATGATGATGATGATGGATAGTACCCAATCCTGATGCCTCAGTAGAACTTAGCCCTCGTAAAAGCTTGAGCACCTTGGCCTCCGATATGGAAACCTTCCCCAGATAAGCGTCTGCAGGAACCTTAACTTTCAAACTAATGCTCCGCAAGTGGGACTCGCATACTGTTATCCAAGCAAGGAAGCCTTGTCAAGATCAGTGACAGCAGCAGCGCCATCTGGACCAAACACCGGGATAGACGGGCTCATGCTGCCTCGCCTTTTTAATATAAGCAAAGAAGCGTTTTGGGTTTGATGAGGGTGTACTGGTAACCTCGGTTTTAGCTAGTAACCGAGCACGTCGCAGATACTGCCTGCATGTGTTTCGAACTTCTTGGTACTTTTGGAAGGTGCATGTCAAAGGAACAGACATAGGCACGCCAACATCTAGTCCGCCTCTTAAGCAGCTTTCGCACCGCGGAGTAAAACCAGGGTGGCCTAGCTTCAGTTTTATTCTTCACAGAAATCGGCAGGTGAGGTAGGGACAACTCAGATAAATAGGACTTGAATGTGTCCCATGCTGAATGAATATTGGCTGTGTCTGAAATGAAGCAAGGTGAGATGGCGGTCCTTGCTTTCATTGCTCGAAAATCGGCACGCCATATATTTGGTCTTTGGATGGTGAGGTCATTGGATACACGATTGAGAGCACACTTGAAGGACAGGCATGCATGGTCAATAACATCTAGAGGTGAATCGTATATGTCACTGACGAAGTCCAATGACAGTGAAGACCAGATTCAAGAGTGACGGTACTTGACCAACCACAAACCTGGCTGGCCGGTCAATAAAATGATGTAAGGGAACGCAGGGCTAGGTCTAGAAGCACAATAGAAAAGCTCCATGAAGCAGCATCACAGAAATTTTACCAATCAACATTTTGAAAAGTGAAGTCTCCCACCATTAAACATCGATTTATCGAGTGGGCGCTGATGAAATCAATTAGACCACTTGCAACATATCGGGGCATCTATAAACCGGTACAACTTTAAATTGTGCATGGGAGATACGCAAATTAACCGCGAGCGCCCCGACGGAACTGTCTGGGGAACAGAATGTATGCGTTTTGAAAACAGGTAACGCAAAGTGAACGTAAAAAGCAACGCCGAGTCCGCGATGAGCGGAAGCGCGATTACACTTAGGCAGTGCGTAGCCTGCTAAGCCAGCTCCATCGTCCGTGACATGGTCAGACAACCACGTCTAAGTGAACGCGAGAATATCTAGTGCCGACCTCGCACAAGTTGTTTCGCAGGCTACGCACATCAATGAAGATCAAATGGAGGAATCTGGTACCGTGAGGCTTGGGTCGTGCGTTACTAGAACGGGAGCCAGTAGGACGGAAATGGATCGTCGGCTTACCACTCGAAAACCCACTGAATGGAGATCCTTTTTCCCAGCTTCTTGACGAGCCTTAAGGTCTCTAACAGTCCCCCTCAATCTCAACCTATCCGCCAGAGAAAGGTCTGGTTGCACAAAGATACCAGCGCCCTTGAGTTTAGAGGCAAATCACAGGAGAACCTGGCATTCATTTGGTATGGACAGAACAACTCCCAGTAAGCGAAGTCGGTCTGTTCCGTCGACTGGCAAACTACCGAGTCTAGTGAGTTTTCGTACAGTAACCCCGGGAAACTCAGGTATCAGTAGCTTAGTAAAGTAAAATTTGAACCGCTGAGGCTCATCTACCATACGATCTCTTGGGAGAGTAGCAGAGGACTCAGGCATTCCTGAAAAGAACACTACAATCGGCGTATGAGTCACTGCGACGCGCGGTATTCACAGCACGCGACACAGATACAGGTGCTGGTGCTTTCGCGTCTGGTTTTATAGACTCTACGGTCGTACTAGACTCTACCTGCGAAGACAGGACGGTAGTGGTTGAGTTGGGGGCAATGGATATGGGGAAGGGAAGTATGCTCTTTATCTACTTTTGAATTTACCATCTTCTTACCCTTCTTCCGCTTTTTACTGAGAATCGCAGTCTTCGTTACCCCTTCAGCAACAGATGAATCAAAAACGTTATCCGAGTGATCAATATTATCTGGCACACTATTTATAGGCTGAGAACATGTCGAGGTTTCCAAGACAGTCGAATTACCCAGATCCCCCATTATATCCTTACTGAGTAAGCCTGAGCGGTCCAGACACTTCACAATCCAATAGACGCCTGTCTAGAGAAGTCAAGAGACAGGAGGCTATACAGAAAATATATGACTGTGCTCTGTTAGTGAGTAGCGCTCAGCCTTACATTTTGAGCAATCGTTACAACGGTAGGGAAAATGCTCGTTGCTAGCCAGGAGAACATATTGTTTCCGGCCCAAGCCAGTACATGACTCATGGAAGCACCGCGTACAGACATCACACTGCATGTCTCCCGACAAGTCAGTAACGGCTTTGAGACATCCCGTTTTGCCACTAGAGTCAACGATAAGAAGACAGGGGGGTCTGGTAAGGTTCTTTCGGACCACTGTAACAAGAGGGTATCAAGGAGAATGAAGAGTCAAGCAAATATGAGAGATGAAAAGGGATCGAAAACCGGTTGACAGTAATCAACTATGCAGTCTACTGGAGCGTTAGTCGGAACGATAAGGTGCGACATGTTTGTACCGATGTGGACTCACTCGATAGAGCAAGATAGGAGCTGGTAGTTGAGAGCTGTTGGCGGCAAGTCGTAGAATGCTAAATGTTCAGTTCAGTGTTATTCAAACGCTGTATTCACCAAAAGAGTTAGACAACAAGTGAATCGACAAAGTAATGCGAAACACGCTGTAATCCGTGAAGTAGGAATTCGAGCGTCAAGAATTCAATATAGTAGGCGCTTCCCAGCCCTTTTCAGTGTTGTTCAACAGTTGTCACACAAATCTTTCAAGCAAGGCTCACGCCACCTGGGTTGAGCGATCTACACAAGGAAGACACAACCGTAACGTACTGCGCGATTTTCCACCAAGTATTCACGAAGCAATGCGAAACACAAGCACGCTGTAATCCCCAAAATAAAAATTTAAACGTAAAGAATCTAATATATCGGGCGTTCCAAGCTCTTCTGAACCAAAAGAAAAATAACAAAATGAAAATAGTTGCAGTTTTGTTTAACACTTGTCACACAAGCTTCCAAGAATAGTCCACGACAGCTGGGTCGAGCAAACGATACAAGGAAGACACATAGAGTAGACTCCGAGTCACAAGAAAACTGACGAAATCTAACTTTTCTGTGCAGCATGATTCAAATCAAGGATTTCAGGGAAAAAAGCTCTGTGATAAAAAAACAAGCACACCGTGACCTTGAACGACTTCTTTTGCAAAGGGAGTTTATTCATTGCTTCAATGGCTGGGAAAGATCAGAAGGAAGTTTCTTTGTCAGCTCCGTCCCTTCCCGACCGGTGCGAAGGTTGCTGGGATCACTGCGGAACAAGGTTCCACAGAAGACCGCTGTGGTTTTATGGGGGGCAACAAAATCCCTGCACTCTGAGGGGTTGAGTCACAGGCAGAAATTAGTAATGAAGATACTAGCGGTCCGACAGCAGCGCGGGTCTTGAGATCCGCACCTGATCAGTCGAGACCGTTTGATTACACAACAGCGTGTTCAAGTTCAAGTTCAATTGGGACTGGAACGATAGGATGAATCCCGTAAGTGCTCCTTCTTGAGCGGGTCGTTGATCCAGGAGTAGATAGGGGTGCTCCGACTTCTTGATGGGTCTAAACGGAAAGCACCCTGGTCTACCAATTTAATGCCCACGTTCCTTACATTAGCTGTCCCAACTATGTCAGTTACGTGAAGTAAGAAAGGAAGAAAAAGCGAACGTAAGAGAGTAGGGGAAATCAGTTGAAAGAGAATAATACCAATGGCGAGGAAAAGTAAAGAAAAATAGAACCGAAGTATGAGGATGGGAATTTGTCAGGAAAAAGGAAAGGTTTCGTGTTGCCACCCAAGAGCGTCTAGTTGACGCTCAAACCCCTTAACCGTAGCTTCCTTGACTTCTCTGGAAGCAGGTTCCAGCGCTCGATGACTCGACGTGATAACCGTGTCTCCACTCTAACTCGATCGGACCGCGGTTTGTCCAGCTTCATACAATGCCCGCGAAGACCAGGTAATCTAGCAGGACTAAATAACATGGACCAATCAGGGCCAACCTTCCCAGTCAAAATACGGTAGGTTAGGATTAGGTCCCCTCTAATCCTTCGACAGTGCATTCACTGCATCCCCGAAATAAGTAAGCGTTCGTACTGCCTTGACCAATCTAGTACCGACACGCAACACCCTTTCTAGTGCCACTTTGTCCCGGACAAGGCATGGTGGACAGACCTGGATGCAATATTCTAGGTGGGGTCGCACAAACGCTGAGAAGAGCTTCACAAACACATCAGCGGTTAGAGTCCCAAAAGAACGACGGATAAACCATAACATCCGGAAACCTTTACTAGCCGCCTTCTTCTAGTTGTCTCCAGAGTGTAGTGTGGAACAATGGAAGACACCTAGATCAACCTGATGAGTCAGGTGGGGAAGTTCACTCCCATCCAGCACATAACTTGTGGAGGAAGCAGACGCTCCGATACGCAGCACTGAACACTTTGCCCGGTTTATGGGCAGCAACCACAAGACAGACCATTCTCAGAGTCTATCCAGAGCCCGTTGAAGAGCCACAGGACCTCTAGGGATATCAACAATATTCCAGAGCTTTAGATCATCAGCAAATAAGAACGATGGTACCTCAAGCTCCTCCGGCAAGTCATTCACGTGGACTGAGGAAAGCAGCGGACCTAGGAGAGAGCCTTGCGGAACGCCGCTAAGTACAGCTTGTCAAAACGAAAGACTGCTTCCCACACGAATACAGTTCCCGTCCATCCAGAAAAGCTGATACCCACTGGACAGCGCGACCAGCTATTCCATACGACCTCAACTTCAGTGAGAATCGCGAATGGGGGACAATGTCAAAGGCCATGGCAAAGTCAATGAACACCACATCCACCGCATGTCCACTGTCTACGGCTTCAGCCCAGCACTCACGAGCTACCAGCAAATTCGTCTGACACGAAAATCCTTTGCGAAAACCATGCTGCTCGACGCACAAGAGGTTAAACATATTTAAGTGGTTCTCCACTGTATGTCGTACAATTTTTCAAGTAACTTAACGACCACGCTAGTCAAGCTGACAGGCCTGTAATTAGCCGGTAGGTCTTTGTCACCGCACTTGAAAATCGGGCAGACAACAGCCTCTTTCCATTCGGTAGGTAAGACACAACTGTTGAGTGACTTTTGAAACACATAAGTCAGAGATCCACTGCCAATTCGTGCAACAATTTTGGATGAACAGAATCTGGCCCGGAAGCCTTAGTTGGGTTTACCTCTCTTAGCAACCGGAGAACTTGGGACTCAGTTACAGGAATTGCATCCAGACAAGTCCACAGAGACTCTTGAAGCTAACTCTTTGCATGGCGTATTTGTTTCGCGGACAAAGAGGCCTGAGTACTGTTTACCAAGCACGAATGCCTTGTCATAGTCGCTATAGGCATGGGTCCCATCTCCTCGAAGCAATGGTGGCATGGGCAAGTTTGCACCACAGTGTTCAAGTTCAAGTTCAAGCGGGACTGGAACGATAGGATGATCCCGTGAGTGTTCCTTCTTCGGCGGGTCGTTGAACCAGGAGTTGGCGAATTTTGAAATACTGATGGACCTAAAACAAAGATCGCATCACACCCTGTCCAACCAATTAATGCCCATGTATCCTGCCCTAGCAGTCCCTGCTGGGCCGGTTACGTGAAGTAAGAAAGAGAAAAAAAGTAAACTCAGATGGCAAAAAAGAAAGTGGAAAGGGCTAAGCAAGTGGAATACCAAGATACTTGAGTCATTAAAAAAAGAACTGAGAAGTGCAGGTGAATCAGCTACGAAAAAAGGAAAAGTTTGCTTTTGCCACCCAAGAGCATCGAGCTGGCGGGCAAAACCCTTGACCGCAGATTCCCTAACCACGTGATCTGGAAGCGAATTCCAGCGATCTATAACTCGGCGCGACAGACGAGTTTCCGTCTTAATCCTATCAGACCGTGGTTTATGCAGTTTCAGTGGGTGACCGCGGAGATTAGGTAACGTAGCGGGACTAAATAGCCTTGACAAGTCCGGGCCAATCTTACCCGTCAAAATACGATAAGTGAGAATCAGGTCACCTCTTATCCTTCAGTAGTGCATGGAGTACATACCCAAACTGAGCAAGCGTTCAGGATACGTCTGTCCCCGTAGACCCTTCACTAGCCGAGTGCTCACTCGCAACACCCTCTCCAAGTCCATTTTGTCTCGGTTAAGACATGGTGGACAAGCCTGAATACAATATTCCAGGTGGGGTCGGACGAATGCCGAAAATAGCTTCACAAACAACTTGGCCGTTAAGATTCCGAAAGAGCGGCGGATAAACCACATCATACGAAAACCTCGACAAGCAGCCTTCTTCCAGTTGTCTCCAGAATGAAGTGCTGATGCGTGTACGACTCCTAAATCAACCTGCTGAGTGACAACAGGGAGTTCACCACCGCCGACAACATATCGGGTGGGAGGATTTGCAGCTCCGATTCGGAGAACAGAGCACTTCGCCCTATTTATGGGCATCAACCATTAGGTAGACCATTCCCAGAGCCTATCCAAGGCATGCTGAATGGCCTCGGGACCCCCGGGATATGCACAATATTCCAGAGCTTAAGGTCGTCAACAAACATTAGTGATGACATCCCTAGCTCTCCCGGCAAGTCATTTACATAGATCGAGAACAACAATGGCCCCAATATCGAGCCCTGCGGGTCGCCACTAAGGACAGCTTGCCTGAGCGGAAGGCTACGCCCCACCCGTACGCACTGTTCCCTCCCCTCAAGGAAGGCAGACACCCATTGAACGGTGCTACCAGATATCCCGTAAGATCTCAATTTTAGTGAGAGCCGAAGATGTGGAACAGTGTCAAAAGCTTTCGAAAAATCTACGAATAGCACGTCTACAGCGTGGCCACAGTCTACCGCTTCGGCCCAGCTTTCACAAGCTACAAGTAGACTAGTCTGACATGAAAATCCTTTGCGGAATACATGTTGCGCAATACTGAGAAGGTTGAATCGATTCAGGTGGTTCTCCATTGAATGCCTTATCAGCTTTTCAAACAACTTGACTACTACGCTTGTCAAACTGACAGGCCGGTAGTTCGCGGGTAAAGCGCTGTCACCGCCCTTAAAAATCGGACAGATGATTGCCTCCTTCCATTCCGAAAGTAGGATGCAGCTATCTAGCGATACTGAAAACGCGCATGTAAGAGGACCACTCAGCTCAGTGGCCAATTCATGCAACAGCTTCGAATGAATTGAATCAGGACCGGAGGCTTTAGATGGATTAATGTGTTGCAGTAGCTCGAAGACCTGAGTCTCCGTTATGCTAAATTCATCTAAGCAATAATCCTCTGGAACTCTGGAAACCCATTAAACCTGTGGTAAAGACGTCTCCCGAGCAAAGACCCCAGTATACTGATCACTAAGTATACAAGCCTTTTCATAGTTTGCGCACAGGTCTCGTCTGCTCGCAATAACGCTGGTATAGACAGTGTTGCCCCGCTGCGTCTTTTAACGTAAGCAAAAAACTTCTTGGGATTAGCTGCGGCCGAGTCCGCTAAACCCTGCTTGTACTGGAGACGAGCAGTTCTGAGATGTTGCTTACATTTATTTCTAATCTCTCGATAACTATCATCATCATCATCATCATACACGTTAGCTAGAGGTGGGGAACACCTCAGCTACTGTGCCGCAATATATTGAAAAAAGGGAGAAAAAAAGCAACTGGTGCAAGCTGGCTGAGCTACCGGTAACGGATGGGCATCGTTCCGGTAAGCTATCAGCCGGCTGCTGTGCATCAAAAAAATCATTAGGCAAAATTATATAAGGCTAAATTATGAGATCGTGGTTGGAGGGGAGGCTAAGAGGGATGGGGTGGGACAAAGAAACTCACAGCACGAACGCCACTGAGGTCGGCTCCTAGCCATATCAGCAAGTGTGTCCAACCAAACGTGTTCGTCGTCTTTCGGACCCCAACCAGGGAGCCGAGACGCTCCAACCGAGGCCAGCTCAGAAGTGAGGGACTTCATTCCTCTGGACCAAGTCATCGCTTGGCCACCCCTCCTCTTCTTCCATCCACACTCCCGGCGCG